AAAATAAGTTTAAAAAATCTGACTATTTAATTGTTCTTATAGTTGCATCAGATTTATTTCTCAATTAATTATCTAAACATTTCATTTCTCAGTCCTAAACTACAATGAATTGCTATTATTATTATTCTTATATTTATTATTATTGTAATTATTATTAAAAAAATCTGTATATTTAATTTGTTCATGTAGTTTTTGTAGGACACTTGTTATCACTTCATCATTAATATATTTACTTTTGTAGAACCTTTGACATATGTTATACTTAGACACTGCTTGGTTTTGTCTCTAACCTCTAATTGTGTTTTTTCACTTGGGCATATTGCAATGGAATTTTTGTACTATTTTCATCAATCTGTCTGTATATTGTTTCTCTTGTCTTCATGCTGACTCTGTAATTGGCTACCAGCTGTTGAGTACAGCAGGTAAATAAAACCAAGAATTGAAGAATTGAATTATTATTATTATTATTATTATTATTATTATTAGAGGGGGTGGGTTTCCCCATGCACTTAGACCAGTTATTGGTCCATTGTGCATCCCCCTTTAATTTCTACTGTCGCCATACCCTACCAGTACTGGTGTGTACTATCAGCCCCGTTCAGCCAACGAGGTCAGCCCACGGTACCTGATACTTCCCCCATCTACCAGAGGCATTGGAAACTACCTGGGCGGGAAACTTGTTGCCTAATTTTGCTCAGAGGTCTACTAGAGACATGAGGATCTTTTACATGCCGTAAATCTACGACACGGGACCCATAGCTTAACCCTTCAGTGCCAGACGACGTACATCGCACATCGGCATTTAAATGCCACATCTCACCGGGCAACGTTGTCGTGCGTCTTGTGCTGCTTTTCATGTAAAGTAATACTTTTGCTATGAAATGAAAGAGGAAATTTCTGTCTATCATTTCGTATATTCGTTATCCCACTTTGAACTTCCCGGGGTATTCTTTTTTTACATTAGAAGTCTCTGAAGAAGTTTTGTAGCTCGCCGTCTAGGGTGCAGTATTGCCGTACAAATCTATCTCCATCTCTTGGAGAGTTAGGAACTAAATATGCTAGGTTGATAGTCTGTGATCTCCTTGCGTGTTGGTCGAAGCAAAGTCTGTGTTCTCTCTGCGTGTTGGTCAAAAAAAAAATCGATTTCCATTCAGCCAGTGACGAGTGCTGCCTCTTGAACGGAATGAGAAACCTCGTGTAGAAAACCCAACAAGAATGATACGTGATGCTGACCTCTGATATGACTGCAGTTGAAAATGATAAACAAATGCCTTGTTTGCATTCGTTGAGGTTCCATTTGTTCCATATAGCTAATGCAGTTTGCATGTAGCAGCCATGGCTGGAACAAGCAAGAGATGTTCAGGTGTGTTGAGTGACGAGGACATACAGTGTCTGGTTGAAAGTGATTCCAAACAAAGTCTATCAGATTCGGATTTTGACTCTGAAAACGAGTTAGATGACCGTGCCTTTTTTTGATGCTGTTGGAAATGAGGGCAGCGATGAAGATGACAGTGCAAATCAAGAATTCGTTTGGGAGGATATGCAGAACTATAGGGGTCAGAGAGAACATTTCACGGGCAGTGTTGGAGCTCAAGGCCCTTCGAAAGATCTAACGGAAATTGTGGACGTTTTCAAGTTGTTTTTCGACAAGGAACTTATTGAGACCATAGTCACAGAAACAAATAGATACGCAGAGCAGTTTATACGGGGGCGTGAACCATCAGTGAGGTCGCATTCTAAGGCATGGAAACCCGTGACAGAGGGAGAAATTTATGTTGTCTTGGGTTTGTTCATGCTCATGGGCATTGTACAGAAACCAACTCTTCAGTCTTATTTTACAACAGAAAAGGTAATTTCAACACCGGGATTTACAGACATTATAACGCAAGACAGACTGGAGCTAATATGTAAATATTTGCATTTCGCCAACAATGAAAACATCAGCACTTTTGAAGGACCCAAAAAACTTTTCAAAATCTACCCAGTAATTTTCCATCTCAATAAGAAATTTCAGGAACTCTGTCTCCCAAACCAGGACATTTCACTTGACGAATCTACGACACTTTGGAAAGGCCGTCTGTCTTTCAAACAGTACCTCCCTCTGAAGGCAGCCAAATTTGGAATTAAAAGTTACAAGTTGTGTGACTCCACCACGGGGTATTTATGGTCATTCATCCTATATACAGGCAAGGATACAGTACTCGACTCCTCCTTGATCACAGCGGACACCAACAAAACTTCAGCCATTGACCTGAAACTAGTAGAACCTCTCCTGAATCAAGGTCAGACTCTGTGGATGGATAATTTTTACAATTCCCCAACTCTGGCCAGGCTATTGAAGATAACGCACAAGACCGACTGTGTTGGCACTCTGAAATTGAATCGTAAGAATGTGCCTCCAAAGGGAAAAACACTAAACTAAAAAAAGGTGAAATCGTGGCACAACATTCTGGACTCGTTTCTATCACAAAGTGGTTCGACAAAAAAATAGTCACCATGATCTCCACCTATCACAGTCATGACACCAGGACTGTTACAGTTAGAGGCAAGGTGGTGGAGAAACCAATTTCAGTATTGGACTACAATAAGTCAATGGGAGGGGTCGATTTGAAGGACCAGCTGCTTCACTCTTATTTGATCGAGAGGAAGCGAATGAATAAGTGGTACATGAAGCTGTTTCGCAGGCTCCTAAACGCCTCAATTCTGAATTCAATGATAGTGTACAGGAGTAACACAGGCAAACGAATTCAGCAATTATCATTCAGAATTCAGTTGACTGAGGGCCTGTTCGTGAAATATGCGAGTGCTGTGGAACATAAAGTGCCCGGTTCACATCCATCAGATAACACAGTGCCCCATCTAACAGAACGACATTTTATCAGCAAGATTCCTCCAACGGCGAAGAAATCTTGACCACAGAGAAAGTGCATTGTGTGTCAAAAGTGCTGAAAGAGAAGGGACACACTGTACTGGTGTGATGCGTGCGGCATGGGCCTCTGCATTGAGTGTTTCCGCCACTACCACACATGGCTGAATTTTTAAGGTAATACGATACTATTGTTCATAATTTTTATACGCTTACTGGCCCAAAAATAATTTGAAAGTAGTGTGGATCAATACGCTAATTCTATATACTTCTCTGGACGTTGTATGAAAATCTGAAAAACAAAACTCCAATTTTTTCCCGCTTATTACGCTTTAAGTGCTGCAATCTCCGATTTAATTATTTAAATAGCTGCCAGCATTGGAGTGCAAAAACGATTTAAATGCCCCCCGGCGCTGAAAGGTTAAAGTCCCTCCCAGAGGACTTGTTCCCTGAATTTTTCCGCTCTTAAAAATTCCACGACCTCCGCTGGGTTTGAACCCACGTACCAGATTCAAGCAGTAGGTGAAATATTACATTCTAAGATCCATAAGCTAATTAATTCTATTTGGAATAAGGAAAAATTGCCTGATCAGTGGAAGGAGTCTATTACTGTACCAGTTCACAAGACTGCATTAATTATCATGGCATAGCACTGCTATCAACTTCATACAAAATTTTATCCAATATCCTTCTCTCAAGGTTAAGTCCATACATAGATGAAATTATTGGGGATTATCAGTGTTGGTTTCGATGTAACAGATCAACTACTGATCAGATCTTTTGCATTTGTCAGATACTTGAGAAAAAATGGGAGTACAATGAGACAGTACATCAGCTGTTTGTGGACTGCAAGAAAGCCTATGATTCATGTTAGGAGGGAAGTAATGTACAGTATCCTCATAGAGTTTGGGGTAACTAGTTAGGCCGATTAAAATGTGTTTAAACGAAAAATCTGTATACGTAAATATTTGTCTGATAATTTTCGTATACAGAATGGTCTAAAACAAGGGGATGCTTTATTGTCATTTGTTTTCAACATTGCTTTAGAATATGTCATTAGGAAGGTCCAGAAAAACCAGGTGGGACTGAACTTAAATGGGACATATCAGCTACTGGTCTATGCTGTTGATGTGAATCTACTGGGTGGTAATATAGATACTATAAAGTAAAAACACACACTGCAAGTGAAGCTAGTAAGGTTGGTTTAGAAGTAAACATAGATAAAACTAAGTACATGCTGCTGCTGCTGCCTCATCACCAGAATGCAGGGCAAAACATGATATAACGATAGGTAAATGATGTTTTGAAAATGTGGCAGTTCAGATATTTGGGAATGACTACAACAAAACAAAATCTGATTCAGAAGGAAATTAAGAGGGGACTGAATTTGGGTAATGCTTGATACCATTCAGTCCAGAACCTTTTGTCTTGTCTGCTGCCTAAGAACACAAAAATTAGAATATACAAAAGTATAATTTTGCCTGTGGTTCTCTATGGGTGTGACGCTTTGTCTCTAATATTAAAGGAGAAACACAGACTGAGGGTTCTCCTAGAAATGCTTTGTGGCGATTAGCACAACAAAGCAGAGTTTCTGTAGGCAGTGCATGGAAAGCAACTAAACTGTTGCATATTGGTCCAGATAAAATTACTGTTGTTCCTGAAATTAAACCTGTGGATTATGAAAAAAGAGTGTGGTTTTGTAACTGGTTTATCAGTCATGTGCATGACAGACTTATTGTTCCTAAGCTGACATTTTTCCAGATGAGGCTAATTTTAATCTCTTGGGATATGTTAACTCACAAAACAACAGGTATTGGAAGAGTGAAAATCCTCATGCCTTAATTCAACTTACTGGTAGAGGGTACACACAAGCAACGGGCATACTGCAGATAGTAGACATAGCAAAACAACGAGCTAACAAACAGAAAAACAAGCTGCAGAAACGAACCTTTTGGAATATCATATAGTTCCAAACAAGTGGATGACGCCCCTTTATGAGGTGGAATAGGATTTTACAAAAAAAAAATTTAATAGATTTTAATTAATTATTTACGTTATTTTTAAGTGAACTGTAACGCACGGTTTTATTGCATGTCAGAGCAGTGTAACAGTTGGGACGCACTAAGAAACCTGAAGATGGCCATCGGTGGCTGAAACATATTGTGTTAAGTGTTAAATGGTGAATAAACAATTGTTGCATTACTGACTGACTGTGGACACATAGACATTTAAATAAAGATTTTCAACAGGCTGCTGAAATACAGAATTACAAATAAATTAATTTTAAATATGTCTTTACAATCTTTATACAACACACCAGGTTTAAATCATGCAAACTATAAATGAATAAAAGATTTTAGTAATCTGTGAATGTGTTTGGAAGACCAGTCTTGGCTTCTGAATGTGTATGCATAATGTAATGATTCTGGTATGGTCAATAACGTCTGTTATTTTATCTTGAAAATTTACACAAAGAGTGTATTGGAAATAAAATGTGTTTAATTTTTTTCTGCATCTATTCAAAATATAATACACTCAAATAAATACTTGAAAAGAACAGACGCTCTAAACGTGCCACAGAAATGTATCTAGGTCCTCATATAAAGTGGTCATCAATAATGGCTCCTCTAAATGAAAAGTAAAATGACTCAACATTATTGCATAAAATTCTCTAGTAATGAAATTTAACCAAAATTTGTCTTCCTCATTCTCAAGTTACTTCGTGCATAAAGACGGACAAAGGAATTTTAACAGGCACTCCACATGGAAGCAAACATGCCTCAAAAAATGTTCATATATTACCAGCATGGCAAATCTACTAACATGCCTTCTTGCATAAGCATTTAAAATTTGCTTAGGGGGATGGGGGGGTGGAGTCCAACTGGGTCCAATCAGCACAGCGGCCACTGATTAGCCTATTGTAGCCTGCCCCTGCTGATTATGACGGAGAATTTGGTGGAATAAAGATTGGCAGGGGAAACCAAAGTACTCGGAGAAAACTCACCCCAGCGCCACTTTGTCTACCACAAATCCCACTTGACCAGACCCAGGATCGAAACCGGGCCGCCACGGTGGAAAGCCAGCTACTAACTGCTTGAGCTATGGCGCGGCCTTTACATAAGCAAGTGATATACCAGGAAAAAAAAAAAACATGTACCTCTGCCAACCACAGAAGGCCTGGACTTTCCGTTGTATATTCTGCAGCTTTGGTTGTGCAGTGACAGGAGTTACACCAGACACACCCTCCATGAAAGTTGGATTTAAGTTTTGGATTTCCCGTCTTCGCCGCCGTCCACTGAAAATGATTGAGTTATAACAAAATTCTTTATTGAATGCATTACTTCTATTCATCAGTCATCACGGGTAACTTCTGATATGGAGACATTAAATATCTCTTATAAATTATTCATAATATCCTATGAGATTATGGAAAAAAGGACTTTCTTACGTGACTAGAAGACTGAGGCTGTATTTCTGAACCCCTAATTGCAACATAATCATAGATTTAGCCATCTTTCTATAAACAAGGAGATCTAAAGATATTAATTGTTGTAAGATTTGAGGCTTTCACGGCGGTGACTATGAAGAAAGCAGTCTTCTGGGATTTGGCACTGTGTATATGTGGTGTTAACCGACGTCGGTTAACACCACATATACACGGTGCCAAATCCCAGAAGACTGCTTTCTTCATATTAATTGTTGTTTCCACAAGTCAAATACAACTAACCTGTGTAAGATTTGAGGTTTTCAAGGCGGTGACTATGAAGAAAGCAGTCTTCTGGGATGTGGCACTGTGTACATGTGGTGTTAACCGACGTTTCGGAGGAACATATCGCCTCCATCTTCAGGGTAGAAGGAAAAATAAGAAATCCGCAAGCGAAGAGACCGTGAAAAGCGGTACAAGCAGTCTGAAGATGGAGGCGATATGTTCCTCTGAAACGTCAGTTAACGCCACATCTACACAGTGCCACATCCCAGAAGACTGCTTTCTTCATACAACTAACCTGCTTCCGCCAGGAACTCCAGCAGTGTCACTAGTGTTACTGCCATCCTCATCATTACTGTCCTCTCCATTGCTGTCATCATATTCTGCAAAAAATGAACATAAATTCTGATTGTGCAGACTACCACAGGATTTATCTACCACCTGATATAGTATGGTTGATGTCACAATAAGATATGTAACAAACTGACTTAAGCAATTCATAAATTTCAAACTCTGAACATTCAAAACTCACCAACTCTGTGAACATGTAATGCTTTCTCAATAAAAATGGCTTATGTGGTGTCAAGTGAGAGGATCACTGCAAACAAAAGGAAGAAGAAGGAAGTAGATGTAACCTGTTTTGAGGTGTAATTCTTTCCCTGGGGAGGCGGGAGAGAAAAATTATTTATTTTTTTTTTTCAGTAATTCTGTTTGATTTAAGCTGTATCATTTCAGTCAAAGGCAAATTCTGACTTCTGTGTCTGTGCAACACATTCTTACAAATCAATTTCCACTAGTAGAAACAAGCAATCTCTCCCATGAGATACACACTGATTTTGACACATTTTGCAAATGACTGCTTTTACCGCACCACCTTCTTATGTTGGCTTTTTCTGCCAAAATGTCTTCTAGCAGCACATTTTGCCAAATCTACAGCACATTCAATTACTTGCAGCTAAAACTTTGTGGTATACCTTGCACATTCCTTGACTATAGTTTATTACAAGCAAGTCATACTCTTTGAAATGATGGTATGCATGCTTTTGGATTAGGATGAAGCTGCAAGACATCAGCAGGCAACACATGACAATATGTGTAGTGCAAATGGCTGTCATGAAATCGCTACAGCTAGTGCCAAAGAACATTTTTTTTAAATTTGACAGGTACTTGAGGAACCAGAACAGCTCAGTTGGTATAGTGATTGGCTATGGGCTGGACAGCCCCCTCCCCAAACCAGGGTTTGATTCATGGCAGGGGCAAGATTTTTCTCTACTTGACAGCGTCCAGCCCTCAGGGGCCAACCCAGCTTCCTACACAATGGGTACAAAGGGCTCCTTCCCCAGAGGTAAAGCAGACAGGGCATGAAGCTGACCACTCACATCCATCTAGAGCTGAGGTCACTCCCCAATACATCTTCATGATGCGATGCTTAATTAAGTACAGGAACAACTTTACTTTATCTTTTTGATTGGTACTTGAAGAAAACTTACTCTTAAAGGCTTCATGGAGTTATAAATGAGGCCATATTAATTCATTTTCACCTAAAATCAGGTATGGCTTAAGAACAAGGCTTATGTTCATGCAAAAATGATATTTCTGTCAAGTCAACTATAATGTGGGCTCAACTGAAAACAACAGCAACAGCAACAACAACAACAACAACAACAACACCTGTTAGTTTTTCTCATCTTCACATGTAATAATAAAATTATTGACTTTAAAGATCTCAGCAATTTTATTTTGTATGAAGAGGACACAAAAGATGCGCTGGCAGATTAAATCCAATAAAACTATTCTGACCTGATCAAGAGTCTGGAATAATCCCTTTACCATAACTGTACATCAGATTTTACCCATAGACATTTACTGGAATGCAGGTTTAATATTTTATCGATAATGTGTATGCATATACTAGGTGGTTCAAATATGATTGGGACTGATTTTTTTGTAAACAAGCCGCACTGCGCAGCAACTGTGCAACCTTGAGAGAGTGAAGCCACAACCTCCACCCTCCCTCCTGTTAGGGTTAGAACCTGTTCAATCCTGTCTGGAAGTTGCTAGAGTGATGAGTGAACAGAAGGTACTGCGGAGCATGGAACAACGCATTGTGATCAAATTCCTCGTTGGAGAAAACGTCCAGTCCGCTGAAATTCACCAGACTCCAACAACAGTATGGGGAAGAGTGTCTCTCATGGACCAGTGTGTTTGAGTGGTGTAAGTGCTTCAGAGAGGGCAGAGAGCGCATGGAGAATGAACCGCATGATCGTTGGCCGTGAACATCCATCACCAAGCCAAACACTGATCGTGCAGACGCACTTATTCGTGAGAATAGGAGCATCACTATCAAGGAACTTGGAGCAATGCTGTCCATCAGTGTTGGTAGTGTAGAAGACATCATGAAATACCACCTACACTATCGCAAGGTGAATGCACAGTGGGTACCACACACTTTGACGGACATGAACAAAATGGTGCGCATGCAAGTTGCCAGTCGTCTCCTACAGCAGTTTGAAGACAAAGGTGATGCATTTTTGAAGTCTATAGTGACCACCAATGAAACGTGGGTGCACTACTTCATTCCCGAGTCCCAGCAGTCATCACGCGAGTGGCGGCATACCAGTTCTCCCAAACCCAAGAGAGCGCAAAAGAGCCGTTCAGCAGGAAGTGATGGCAACATTCTTCTGGGACTGGCAGGGGGTTATCCATGTAGACTTTCTGACAGATGCCAGAACAGTCAATGCAGCTTATTACTCTGACCTCCTGGCAATAGACATGAAGGAAAAGATCTGATCCAAGCGGAAGTGAGGTGGAAAGTGGGTAGCCTTCCTTCAAGACAATGCACACCCCCATAAGGCTAAAACAACAATGGAAACCCTCCAGAAATTGAAATGGAACCTTCTGACACATCTGCCGTACAGTCCCGATTTTGCACCAAGTGATTTCTACCTGTTTGGAAGGCTCAAATCAGACTTGCAAGGCAGGCGGTTTGTGGACGCCGTCATCCAGAATGTTCGGGAGTGGATATGCCACCAACCACAAAACTTTTTTGAAAAGGGCATCAGGATGCTTCCAGAATGTTGGAAAAAATGTGTTGAATGGAGGGGAGTACATTGAAGACTGACATGTGCAAGTAAGTGTTTGGCAATTTGGGTTTAAAAAAAAATCAGTCCCGGTCATATTTGAACCACCTTGTACTTCATAAAATGATAACCACCCAGATATTTGGGTCAGACTATTTCTGCTACTAATTGCTCTGTAAAGCTATTTAAAGCATTACTTACATCCTAAAAGAAACATACTAACCTTTACACCAATCTGGCAACTCAGGTGGGGGTGGCACTTCATTTATATCATTATCACCATACCTTCGATACAGTTCTTGCAAGTAATCACGTTTATAGATTCCTGGTGGGCTGAAAAAATAGTTTCTAGTCAGTGGTTAGTTACCACAAAATTAGCATCCTATAAGAATACTTCATATGATAATCATTAACAGAAACAGCCAGTAAGTACATATATAATAATAAGAAAGGACAAGATTAGTATTTAGATTTTAACAATGCCCTTTCAAGTGCGGATATTATGTATGGTGAATTCATGCACTATCTCTCCATAGTGTGATTCTTAAAGAACAAGTAAAAAATATTGTATATGTCCTGTGACACTAGGTTTTCAAAATATAAATCATCATCTTATGGCACAAGCTATCAAATGACCAAACCATGAGCATGTCATTGTAACAATAGGTGCTTGAAGCGGCTTCCGTCCATTTCAAGGCAGATGGCAGTGCACTGCACAACATTATCTTGAACATGCCTAACAAGCTGTTTGAAGTCTTTCCATGAGATCTTCTGATAGTCCTCGGAGGGGTTGGATAAACCTGCTCCTTCAATGTCCCAACAGGCTAACATCCATCAGAGTTAGATCCAGTGACTAAGGAGGCCACACAAGCGACCCATAACAGCTAGTCCACCGTCCTGCATGTGTCAAATTCAACCACTCTCCATACAGGTTGTAGGCAATTTGCATTCATGTGCACCGTATATATTACTACACTTCCTCTCTCACATAGGCACTACTCCAGTCAAATAAGATGCAAAGATCACTGACGATGTAAGAAATTAGATGTGTCCAATTTCAAGGCACTATCCTAGAGTTCACATGAATACTAGAAAAACTACTAGAAATCTCAGTTAGGACAGCAAACAATCTGGCCAAGATTACAACCAGGTGTTTCATGAAAAAAAAAATACAGCATTATCAACACAGCAACATGAGAAACTAACTAACTAACTTGTGAAACAATGAAATGAGGCAAACTAAAAGAGAAATGCTGCAGATTGGATAGAACGAACAACATTATCCTTCTCATACTGTCTTTATAACCATCTGTTCTCCAAGTGCCTCCATGCTTCTCTCCCAGCTAATGAAAATACTCTAATATTTATTGTGTTTTGGAAAAACTAGTGTTTCACTGTCAGTGGCCATTTACAGTCTTGATGTCAACTTGTTTTTGTTCATTACTACTTCACTGCACTGTTCTCTTCCTGTGTCCTGCACTGAACTAGCTTGTAAGTCATCACCTTACTTTCAACTTCATACCTAGTCCTCCACACACACACACACACCTGTTATATGCCACTTCTATGCTCCAGTGAGACTTGCCTTGTAGCCAGTTGTATGCCAGTTATAACATTAAGAAAATTCAGGCCATAATGTGAATGAGGCAATTGTCTGCTTTTCTGGAAGGAAAGAGAATGCAAAAGGGGGTTGTGATTCTAAGAAAGCTTCATGAGGGGGGGGGGCAAACTGGACTGCTGGAGAGGGCTAACAGCTGTTATGATGTAGTCAAACTGGTGTGGAATTGCTGGAATAAAAACTATGTACATTTAGGTAGCAGGTTCGATTCCTGATGAGGTCACTGCATTTTTCTGTTGGGCTAACCTGGGGTCAACTCAGCCTCTAACAGAAATGAGTATCAGGAATCTTTCTCGGGGTAGACAACAGTCTGCATGTAAGGCTGACAACATCACCACATCTGTGGGCCGACTGTCTGGAAAATGTGGGAACCTCAATGTCTCACAAGCCTAAGGACTGACATGGTCCACTAAAGGAATAGCTTTACCCTTTGTTTTCATTCTAATGGCAGTTTTAACTAACTCATCTATGTAATTTACATTTCCTTCTTACTTTGGTTCGTTTTTATGGTGAAATTTAAACTTACCCGGTTGTAAGTTTTGAGGTTTTCACGGCGATGACAATGAAGAAAGTCGTCTTCTGAGTTTAGGCACCGTGTATTCTTCATTTTGGCCGACGTTTCGGAGGAACGTAGCGCCTCCAGTAGCAGTAGCAGCTACTGCTCTCCACATTCCAAGCCATTCAACTGCTCTGAAGATGGAGGCGCTACGTTCCTCCGAAACGTCGGCCAAAACGAAGAATACACGGTGCCTAAACCCAGAAGACAACTTTCTTCATACCCGGTTGTAGTTCAAGAAGGATATATTTTATTCCCTAACAAAACCCTTCCATTAGAAATGCTTCTTCATGGGAGAAGTTTCAGAACATCTGACTTTCATCCATTTTGTAGCATACCACTCTTCACAACCACTGTTCTAATGGGTTAAGAAACTTTACAGTCAATATTCTATATATGCTTCAATGCACAATTTCCAGACTGCATCTTTTTCTCTTGTAAAACAGATATCATGTGAAATACATTCTGCATTAATCCCCACATGGTGGATACCCACTTGTATTGTTTTTAAGACCAGTCCATATTTTTAAGATCATAGTACTATCACAGGTTAGTGACGTGCTAGAGGATTCATGCTGATAACTGAATTTATTGGATACTTATTTTTCTTAGCTACAGACAATTACAATACCTTCCGGCAGCATGTCACAGTATGTAGATCATCAACAAGAGTGTAAAATAGTGGTGTCTACCATATTTATATCAATGGTTAAATCAGATGATGAGTTGATGTATGGTTCAGTAACATAGTTCCTCCCAAATCCCAGAAATAATATTTAAGATGCTACAATGAAGAAAGCTTACTGTACATGCCCATCAGAGCAAAAACAAACTCCATGCAGAATGATTTATTTATAATTGGCTGCAAATTATTCAGTACATATTTAAGGACATAGATTAAAATTCTGAACACAAATCTGTATTTTGTACACACTATGTTCTGCAAACTTTTAATTCAGGTCAAAATTACAAATTTCTATTTTATGGTTCCCTCTTTAAAATTACAGCACAGGCCGTGAAATCAATATAAGCAAAAACCTGCAACTTACCGAACAACGGCAAACTGATTGAGAGCTGCTTCCAAACTACAGTCCATCTGTTGTACCAGATAAGATACTATAAGGAAACCTGTCCTGTTAAAACCATGTGTGCAGTGGATTCCTGCAACAGCAAACAAAACTACCTCTAATGCATATGTTTCCTCAGATCAGAGTTCTCAACTTTTATCTTCAGGGTTGCTTTGATCTAATGTTTGGATTTTTATAAAATCTACAATTTAAACCAGTTTCTTTTTAATAAGAATTTCAATTTTTGAACTTTTATTTTTACAGATTTCAGAAGCAAATGCTTTATTTCTATAATTAAAATTGGTGATCTGGGACATCACACTGTACTGTTCAGTTCAAAGGTACAGGTGTTTCTGAAGAACTTGCTGTATCCCTCTTCAGGATAGTTGGAGGCACAAGTTCCTCCAAAACTCTGGACCATATCCACCAAACTACATGGTGTCACATCCCAGAAGACTGTTACCTTCATATTAATTGCTGTGAGAACCTCAAATCTAATAAGTGATTTCTGTGATTGATACATATTTGTACAATAATATCTCTGGATAAGTTCAGGTTATTGAGGATATAAGGAGAATGGGGTGTGTCAGTTACATGAATCTGCCATTTATATGATAAAAACTCTGGAAAAAGAAACATATCATCTCTATAGTTTTTGCATGGGAGTCCTCTTAGGTGACAGCTGATTGGTGAATGTTATCAGATATACTGCAATGTGATTATAAGTCTGCCTAGTCTTTACTGTAACAGCACCTATATGATGGAGGGTAATGAGAAGTGCTACTGCTGTTAGTTTGGAGAACTTCTACATGATGGGTGAACATATGCACATCACAATTTTGTTTCGTTTTTGTATGGGGTGCACACGATAGCGTAGTTGGTTGAGGCACTATGCTACAAGCCAGGTCACGAGTTCAAGTCCAGATGAGGTCATTGGATTTTTTCAATTGACCTAATCCTTCCAGCCACACTATGGCCCTGAGGTCAACTCAGCCTCTAACAGAAATAAGTACCAGGAATTAATTAAATAATTTTCCTGGGGAGTAAAGCACGGCTAGCTACCTTTATTTTATAATAAAGATAAATTTCTATGCAAATTTTTAAGTTGCATGGAAATTTTTGATGCTTCAACACTGAATAACTGGGAGTTACTTTACCAGCATTCTAATGACCCAAATTTTTAGACTTTACATTGAGCTTTGGAACAAAATGAACTGATAACGAATTCAGTTCACATTCACTTTATGCATGATTTTATAGCAATGTGTGAATATGTGAAAACAGTACTTAATAGTCAGAGACCACAATTAACAAAAAAATTGTCATATGCAAAGGGCTAAGTCCTGTCTTTTGTTATAAACATAAGCATTGTTACTCTATTATTACTATTACCATCTATTATTTAATCTACTCCTTTAGGTCCAAATAATACCATAAATATCTATGGTATTCTTTTCCATTAGATAAGCCTTCTAAATTCAACTTCCTTCACTTCCACCTCCTCCATTCTTATATCATATTTTCATGTTTCTATTCAGCTTTTATTCAGAGGAACAAAAATGAACATAAACAGTCCTGAAAGACTGAAAGAGTTGTTTGAAGAAACAAAGCACAGAACTAATACTAATGTGTTCACATACCTATTATCTCTAATGGATTTTCTCTCATGAACTCATCACAAATCAAAAAGAATGAATTCACCACCTCTTGAGATGGAGTTTCTCCATGTCCTCGACACTTCAGTTTAATATACTTGCAGCCTTCTGCTTCAATTTGTTTCTTGTTATAAAATCTTATTGTATTTGTCAAATCGATCCAAAGGCCAAGTTTTATCTGAAAATATAGTAGAAGCAAACATAAAATGTACACTAAAAAATTATAATTTACAAATATATAATAATTATGTGAATACTGGCTTTGTTTTTGTCAGGATAGTCTGATCATATTTTCAGTGTGTATATTTTACCTATCACGCACTCACGCATGCACACAACATAGCTTACATTTATAATGATGCATCTATTAAACATGTTCAGTGTTTAAAAGTATTATATCGTCAGGCAGGTGAGAAGAGGTGGCAGTGTTGTGTAGACATCTCTTTCAAGCAACACCCCTTTCGGATTGTTCTGGGAGCTACAGTTATCCAAGATACTGAGCAATGATTCAAGAATATAATACACATGGACAAAACGGTTGAGCCTGTGGGAAGCAGCAGTTTTGATATCAGTTTCATGAGCTAGAAAGCTAGAAGTGGAGTACAGCATTCACATGTTGTGAACTACTGCGATGAGATGGAAGTTTGTCAGTGCAAAAAGATAAAAAGTGCAGCAGTATACATGAAATAATAATATAAAAAGATTAAGTTATATCTGGGCTTAAGAAATCAATTACAAACCTCACCCTACGAAGATGTATGGGGAAATGGAGGTAGAGCTCCACCATGTTTAACCTTGGCACTAGATGGAAATTAGATGTCAGTGTCATGCCTCTGTTGATTTACCCCCGCCCCCAGAATAGACCCTGGTACCCACTGCCTAGGGAACAGTGAAAATGCTGCAACTGGTGTCAGAAGGTGGATGGATGATGGAACCAGCTTTACAAGTGATTATGGAGTAGTTAAATGAACTAAATAGTGATATGAGCACCAGCAGGGTGACAGACGGGAAAGTGAAAGAGTATCTCCTCATGGGCAGCGAGGTGTCGCTCAATGAGGCTTCAACTTAGCACCGAAACTAGAGGCAGCAAAGGCATCTGCCAGACCAACATCACAGCTGCAGAGGTAAGGACTGGCGCCCCCATGAGAACATGATTGCCAGTGACTGAGTGCTGCAAGACTGGACGACCCATGTGTTGGCAGGGTGGAGACTTTGGTCACTTCAAAGAGACTGCTGACAGATTCATGATGAAAAGGACTGTCTGAGAGGAAGCAGACTGGATTAGAGGAATAAGTAAGGGATGATACCACAGAAGAAGATTCCAGCATCATCACCCTCACAATCTCATTTCACAATCAATACATTTGTTAAGAGGAAAAATGACATCATACATGCTGAGGGCCAGACAGAGGAGGAGCCTTGCTTTGTGATCACAGACACATGGCATCCAGTGAGTTGTGGCTGTATGGCTGGAGGGCCCACTGGACATGGTGAATAGTCTAGTGGGACCAAGTTCAAAGGCTACCCACCAAGGAGTGAACAAGGCCAGGCCAATGGGTGGCGCCTGTGAGGACTGAACACTGATGGAGGCAGGTGTACGCCAGTGGAGATGCAGTTTCTAAAAGACCCTATCTGAAGACCTGCACTTGCTACCAGGAAGTTGGGCTGCAGTCAGGCAGCCAGAAAGTACGACTTATTGCTGCTGCTGTCATGGGTGGCTGGGACCATGCTGGCCTGAAAAGGGGACAGATGGATGACAATAACATGGAGCCAATTCTACAGGTAGTGAAGGCTGGAGAGTATCCCAAGTGGGAGGCCATTGCTGACTACAGTTCCATCCACAAGGGTTATTGAGTTCAGCAGAACTCCCAGGTGGTGAGAGATGTCGTGCTGGGGCTTCACTGGGAGTCAGCTGACAGAAGATCCAAGACAGCCAAAATAGTCCTACCCCACGGAAACTTGAAAGAAGTTTTGGAACAGCTTTGTCAATGATCTTCAGGAGGGCACCCAGATGTCAACAAAACCCTGGGCAAAGTCAGACAGTGGTATTACTGGCTACATGCAAGGAATGACATTGAGAGCTGGTGCCAATTGCATAACAAGCTGACATACTGCAACTTGGAACCAGGGGCACAATGCACTAGTATAATGTCAGAGAACCATTTGAGAAGATCACCATCAATTTCACAGGAACCCTTCTGCACAGCCAGACGAGAAACTGATTCCTCCTGATTGCCAAGGCCAGAAACTATCATTAGTGGCTGATGTCCTGATGCCTAATTTCTTCTCTCACTTTGGAATCCTGATGGAGCTGCAGAGCAACCATGGCCAAGTCATGTCTCCTGTAGGAAATTTTACAGTGCCCTGGAGTGCTTGAGACATGCAATACCCCACTGCACCCACATCAGGGGTAATGGTGGAATGCTGCATTAAGACTGATAAGGTGCAACTGAGGAAGGTCACTTAAACATATGAGAGACATTGTGAGGAGAGGCTACTCCTCTTCCAGTTGGCCTACACAGCATGCACCATGAGACCACTGGCACAACACCTGCCAGTATGGTGTTTGGGAGGGAGCTACATCTATCCTGAGCAGCCTCCGTAGTCTAGGGGTAATGTTCCCACCTCATGACTCAAGGTACATGGGTTCAAACCCAGCAGAGGTCGTGGAATTTTTAAGGGCGGAAAAAATTCAGGGAACAAGTCCTCCGGGAGGGACTTTAAGCCGTGGGTCCCATGTCGTAGGATTTCATCATCATCAGTAATCTGTCAGACGACAGGTCCACTGTCTCTGTTCCAGAGATTCTTCAGGCAACAGACCACTACATTCGAACTATCAACACAACAGGCCCTGCTAAAGGTATCCTAAGACTTCCACATC